CCGCGTCCGCGTCCGCGCGCGCGTCGTCGAGATAGCGCTCGAGCTCGTCCAGGTTTTCGATCTTCGACGTCGCCTGTTTCGTTTTGGTTCGTTTCGGTGGTGGAACGAAGGTCGGTCAGAGACGACGATGGATGTCGAGAGGAAGGCGGGCGGGCGATCGTTCGATCGTTTGACTTTTCCGAGCCCGAGCCGGACGAGTACCAGCTGCGGATAGCGGAGATCGAGAACCAGGCGCGTCCCCGCGCCGACGTCGACCTCGCTTCCGCCCGGGCCCGTCGTCGCGTCGTCTCGTCTCGTCCTCGGAAAAGTCAAACGATCGAACGATCGCCCGCCCGCCTTCCTCTCGACATCCATCGTCGTCTCTGACCGACCTTCGTTCCACCACCGAAACGAACCAAAACGAAACAGGCGACGTCGAAGATCGAAAACCTGGACGAGCTCGAGCGCTATCTCGACGACGCGCGCGCGGACGCGGACGCGGCGGAGGAAGCCGCGCTCCACGAGGCGGATGCGCTGTACACGAGAGACCACCGCCGCGCCAACCTCCCGAGGGCGCCGTTGACGATGAAGACGGATCCGACGATCGTCGCCGGCGCCGGGCTGCTCGACGCGAACGCGCTCATGGCGGAGAACGCGGAGAGGATCGCGCGGGCGACGGAGCCGCCGAAGACGGCGGAGTTTATGAACACGTCGCTCCCGCCCGGGTACGCGGAGCCGACAGAGAATAAGTTGGTCCGAGACCGGACGTACTTCGCCGAGCGGCCGCCGAAAAAGTTCGAGCCGCGGTCGATACCGGGCGGACCGCCGGTCACGGAGGAGGAGTTCAAGGCGAAGATCGACGCCGCGAGCGAGCGGCGGCGGCGGCAGGCGAAGAAGATGACCCCGGGGCAGCTCGATCTCGAGAATAAGGTTCTAGACGCGTTCGAATCGTTCTATACACTAGTCCCCATACGACCGCGTTCGCGTGGTGAACGCCGATCCTTAAGGACTTTTGCGGGCGATTCTCTCCGCCCACCCCTCGGTTTCAATACCCGCCCTCGGCGCCTTTCAACTCCAACTGACGCCTTTCAACTCCACCCCGACAGGTTCTAGACGCGATGCGGAGGAGGATGGATTATCTCCGGAACCCGCGGCATCCGGAGCCGAAATTTGATTACCTGCGGAACAAGCTCAGACCGGAGGAGGGCGACGCCGCGCTCGCGGCGGTCAGACCGGAGCCCACAAACCCGTCGGACGTCTTCGTCGTCGAGCCCGCGATCGTGGAGTTCAACGACTTTGACATCGGCGCCGTGTACGAAGTCCAAGTCTCGATCCGAAACAAGACGAACATCTCGCGTCGGCTGCGGCTGCTCCCGCCGCCGTCGTCGTACTTCAGCGTCACCGAGCTCGTGTTCCCGCATCAGCACGGGATGCTCGCGCCGGGGCTGAAGTGTAACTTCACGGTGAGGTTCTCCCCGGATTCGCTCGCGGATTACGAAGACGCGCTCACCGTGCTCGCGGAGTCTTTCAAGTTTACCGTCGAGCTCGCCGCGCGAAGGCACCCGCCGTGCTTGACGCTCGACGCCACGATCGACGTCGGGCACGTCTTGGTCGGCAACGACGTCGAGGTGAGGCTGCCGTTCAAGAACGTCGGCGGCGCCGGGCGCTTTCGCCTCGTCGCGGAGGAGGACTGGCCGGACCGCGCGACGCCGCTCGTCCACGCGCCGGACGACGTCTACATGGACGACGGCGAGGAGTACGACGACCCGCCGATCGACTGCATCGAGGTGCATCCCTTCCGCGTCGGCCCCGCGGCTTTGGACATGAAACCGCTGGACGTCGAGCGTTTGAGGGTGGGGTTCCGACCGCCGGACGGCGGCGACTTCCTTCACGAGTTTAGGATGATTTGCGATAACTGCCAGGTCAAGTCGTTCACGATCGTCGGGAGAGGGACGATCTTAGACGTCGCCGTCACGGAGCTCGACGGGCGCGACGTCATCGAAGGCGAGCTTAGCCGACCGGTGTGGTTCGGCGACGCGGTCCCGGGAATATTCCTCACGAGGGAGATCACGGTGCGAAACGCGACGACGGTGCCGATTCCGTTCAACTGGAACCATCCGAAGGAGGAGGGCGTCTTCGTCATCGAGCCGACGCTCGGCGTCTTCCCGCCGTCCTCCGAGATGAAGTTCACCGTCACGTTCACGCCCGCGGACGTGGAGTACTACGAGCGCGACGTCACGCTGATGGTGGACACGTCCTACCCGGCGCGGATGCCCGAGCCCGGGTGGCCGTTCGAAGCCGCCGTCGCCGTCGAGTCGTTCAAACTCGCCGGCGTCGGCGCGGCGAAGGACGTGTCGCTGGACACGAACCTCGTCAACTTCGCCGGGTCGCTGCTGCCGACGAAGACGTACGACCGCGAGGTCACGGTCACGAACAACAGCGCCGCGGCGGTCGAGTTCACCTGGGCCGGGCACGACGACGAGTGCTTGATATACCCAGACTACGGCGCGCTCGAGCCCAACGGCGGGAAACTCGTGTGCGTGGTGAAGCTCACCGCGCCGGAGGTTTCTCGCGTCGATCGCACGCTGCTGTGCAGCGTGCAGCACGGCCCCACGCTGCCGCTGCGCGTGCAAGCGGACGTCGAGGGCGCGGAGGTGGTCATCGCGCAGCGCGAGATTGACTTTGGGCTCCTCCAGCGCGATATCCCCGGGGACACGTACGTGCTCCTTCGAAACACGTCCTCCGTCGTCGCGTACTGGACGCTGGAAGAACGCCGCGGCGACGGCTTGGCGTGCGAGATGCGCTTCAGCGTCACGGACGGGATGCTTCCGCCGTACAGCGAGGTCGAGGTCGAGTGCACGCTCGCGGCGTCGGAGGCGGGCGCGTACCGGTCTACGGTGGTTTGCGTCACGGACCACGGCGCGACGAGCGCGGTGGGCGCGCGCGCCGACGTGTTGCGACCGCGCGCGACGTTATCCGAGGTGGAGATTGACCTCGGCGTCGTCTACCTCGGCGTGCAAGTCGAGCGCGAGGTGACGATACAGAACATGACTATGCTTCCGGCGGTGTTTCGGTGGAGCGAGGAGATCATGTGCGAGGGGCCGTCGGACGACGCGGAGGGAGCGATGGACTACGAGGTGGACTGGCCCGCGGATGAGATTCCTCCGGGGGGCGCGAAGACGGTGCGCGTCGTGTTCACGCCGATGTCCGCGTGCGCGGATTACAGCGCTCTGTTCGTGTGCGACGTCGACGGCGCGGAGAAACCGATCGGGTTCGCGCTCGCCGCGGACGTCCGCGGTCTTTCCGTGGAGTACGACGTCTTAAAGCGCGGCGTGGTCGTCGCCGGCGACGGCGAAAAGGTGGCGGCGACGTCCATCATGCGCGACCAGGTCGTCGTCGACTTTGGCGACCAGTGCGTCGTCCGCGAGCACTCCACGATGGAGGTGTGCATTCGAAACGACACCGCGATGGAGGCGAACGTTATCTTCGCGTGCGATCGCTACGGCGTCAACGACGCGACCGCGCTGAACGTCCTCGAGGCGAAAGCCGCGGCGACGGCGGGCGACTCGGAAGGGTTCGCCAAGGGCGGCGTCGCGCGCGCGGGGACGAGGACCGTCGGCGGCCTCGCCGGCGGCAGCGGCATGCTCGCGCACGCGATGGCGAGGACGACGGTCACCGCGGAGACGAAGTTCTCGACGACCGTGTTCGGCGCGGCGTCCACCGCGGGGCCGGACGCGTCGCACGCGGCGTTGCGGAAGCGCGATCCGATTCCGGGGTCGACCTTTGACGCCAAGGAAAATCGCGGCGGGCACGGTATCGGTTTCGGTCGGTTACCGAACGGCGCGGGGGCGGCCACGGGGAAGAAGGATTCGTTCGGGACGTCGCGCGTCTTGTTCGCGTCCGCGTCCGCGACGAACCGCGAGATGCGGCGGAGGAAATCGAGGGACGGGGACGCGCTGTCGTCCTCGATTCGTTCGAATTACGAGTCGGAAAGCCGCGTCAGCAAGACGAGTCGGAAAGCCGCGCCGGTGGTGTCGGCGCGCGACCGGCCGGTGACGCTGACGTCGGCCCACGAGAGCGTCAAGTTCTCCCGCGGGCTCGGCGTGCAGATGGACAACAACCGTCGCTCGGAAGCCGCGGACGCGGCCGCGCTCGCGACCGGCGACGGCGCCGCGTTCATCGTGTTCCCGTCGCGAGGCGTCTTGCCCCCGTACGGCGAGTTTCGCGCGCGCGTCGTCGTCGTCTCCGACATGCCCGGGGAGTACTTCGACGCGCTCCGGTGCGTTCTATACACTGGTTCCCATACGACCGCGTTCGCGTGGTGAACGCCGATCCTTAAGGACTGTTGCCCGTCGTGTCTCTCCGCCCACCCCTCGCTTTCAATACCCGCCATCGACGCCTTTCAACTCCGCTTCTGACGCCTTTCAACTCCACCCCGACATTCGCTTGTATGGAATGGCCCTCAGGTGCCGGGTGTGGAACCGCTACGACGAGCTCCCGGAGCGCGCGCTGCCCGTGCGCGCGGGCATCACGGGCTCGCCGTTGATCGTGCAGCCGACGAAGATCGTCCCGGCCGGGTACGCCGCGACGGCGCCGCGGCCGCCGAAGCTGAAGGTGTTCGCGCTCGACTGGGGCGAGAAGGAAACCGGCGCGCCCGCGGTTTCGAAACGGTTTTACTGCGTCAACAAAGGGCCGCACGACATGACCGTGAACTTCGAGGCGTGGCTGTCCCCGCCGGATCCGGACCTCAACGGCGTGACGTGCGCGCTGACGAAGCTCATCGTGGACGAGGACGCGGAGTTTGTGTCCGTGGACATTCTCGGCCAGGGCGAAAAATGCGGCGAGAAGGGCCCGTTCACCGTCGTCCCGAGCGGCGACGTCGTCGTCCCGAAGCTCGGCGGGCAGCGGCAGTTCGAGGTGACGTACTCGTACAGAGGCAAGCCCCGGAAGTTCGTCGGCGCGGTCGTCGGCACGCACTCGGTGAGAGGCCCCGGCGCGAACGCGAACCGAGGGTTAAAGCTCGAGCTCGGGTGCGCGGCGACGAAGAACCGCGTCGGCGACGTCGACGCGGACGCGCCCGAACGCGACGCCGCGGCGAGACGCGCGGTGGCCAAGCCCGTCCGCGTGCGCATCAACGACGCGTTCCACTTCACGAGCGCGGGGCCGCCGATGCAGATGAAGCCGCTGCTCGTTCGGATGCAAGCGACCGCGTTCTCTCCGCGGCTCACGGTGGACGAGCGCGAGAACTTTCGGTGGCGCTGCTACTCCCCGGTTGACGTTTCGGACGGGTCGTATTACAAATCCGTCACGCTCACGAACGCGTGGGCGAAACCGTTAGGGTTTAAGATGTCCATCGGCGGGCCGTTCGAGATCACGGACGTCGTGTCGTCCGTCCCGCAGCTCGCGTTCGACCGCGAGACGTCGTTCGTCGCGTGCGCGAGGGCCCGCGCCGCCGCGAAGGTTTCGAAGCCGCCGCCGAAGATCTCCGACGTCGACTTCGTCCTCCCCGCCGAGGAAAACGTCCACGTCACGATGCGGTTCGTCCCTCCGGAGCCGGACGAGGACGACTTCGGGAACCCGATCCACGACGACGCCACGTTGGACGGCGGCCTGGTCCTCGATTACGACAACGGCACGCGCGACGTGCAGACGTTTAAGCTGCTGTGCGAATACCTCCACCCGGCGTTGGAGGTGAACGTCCAGGAGATTGACTTCGGCAAAGTCCACTGCGCCGCGAAAACGCTCAGCGCGCGGCGTCTGACGCTGACGAACACCGGCGAGGCGGACGCGGAGTGGGCGATGCACTTCCCGCGGTGGATGCATAGGGTCGGAATGGCCGGCAGCGTATTCGAGTGCGTGCCCGCGAGCGGGATCATTCCCGGGACGGGCCCGCACGGGAAGCCGCGAAGCGTCGAGATCGAGATTCTTCTCGACGCGAAAAAGCCGGAGCGTTACGCGTCCGCGTTGACGTTCAAACCGCGCCTCGGGCGAGGGTGCTCGGTCGTCGTGCAGGGCGAGGGGACGTTGGACGAGGAATACGAGGGACAGATCATGCCGCGGTTCGAGCCGATAGATGACGCGTGACGTGATGGACGACGCGCGCCTTCGTAGACTATAGAGAGCGTCTTTGATGGGACGTTCAAACCACGAAAATCGTCGTCGTCACCGCCATCAGCCTGCATTTTTGTTCGTTCGAGTTCTCGCTCGTTCTCCGTTCTCGGCGGTCAACGACCGCGTCGTCAGATTCGGTGCACGCGCGACGTGACGCGCGCGCGCGCTCTCTCGGGCGACCAGCCGGGCGCACGCGCGCGAGAGCACGCGAGTCGTCATGTCGTTCCGCGAGATTCGAAACTTCACCGAGTGCATGCGGTCGCTGGGGTACCCGCGGATCGTCAGCGTCGAGAACTTTCGCACGCCAAACTTTGAGCTCGTCGCGGATTGCCTGGAGTGGCTCGCGCAGCGATACGACGGCGGCGCGGTCGTGGAGGACGACATCAGCACGGAGACGGACCGGGTCAGGTTCTTGAAGTCCGTCGCCGCGGTGTTCTTGTCCAAGGCGCGGATCAAGCTCAACCTCAAGCGGCTGTACGCCGCGGACGGGTGCGTTTTTCAAATCCCTCGAGCGTCTCCGCGGGCGTCCCGGTTACGCTGGTTCCCATACGACCGCGTTGGCGTGGTGAACGCCGTTCCTTAAGGACTTTGCCCGGCGCATCTCTCCGCCCATCGCCCCTCGCTTTCAATCCCCGCTCTGGGCGCGCGACGAAACACGGCGCTCTGACCCCCCCCTCTCCCGTCCGCAGCCTCGCCGTGAAGGAACTCCTGAAGATCGCCAACTTGCTGTACCAAGCCACCGCGAAGGCGGACGAAGACGACGCGGACGAGGAAGCGTCGGGAGGCACCGCGTTCGCGCTCGACGCGTCCGCCTTTGACGTCAAGACGACGCGCGCGCTCGCGTCGGAGATCACGCGCCTCGGCGCGACGCTCCACGACGCGCTCGGCGAGGAGGAACGGCTTCGAGACGCGCGGCTCTCCGCGACGAGGAAGAACATGGACATCGAGGAGATCGAGTCGCAGATATCCGAGCAGATCGCGACGGTCAGAGAGAACGCGGCGAACGTGGAGCGCGCGATGGCGGAGCTGACGGAGGACGAGTCGTCGCTCGCGCGACAGATCGAACGCAAACGCGCCGAGCTCGAGCGCTCGGAGAAGCGCCTCGCGACGCTCGAGTCAGGCGCGTTCTATACAAAAGTTTTTCACCCACCGTCCGGTTTCAACATTTGATCGCGTCCCCTTTCAACTGACCGATGAACTATTTTTGTATGGAATGGCCCTCAGTGCGACCGGCGTACATGGACGAATACGAGCGCCTCGAGCCGGAGATGGACGAGCTGCACGCCGCGTACATCGAGCGGCATAGGAACTTGACGTACTTGGAGAGCGAGCTGGAGAAGATCGAGCGAGACGAGGAGGACGCCGCCGCCGCGCACGCGGCTGAGTTGGACGCGATGCGAGGGAAACTGCGCGCGGAGGAACTCAGGCGCGTTCTATACCTGACACTGGTCCCCATACGACCGCGTTCGCGTGGTGCACGCCGTTTCTTGAGGACTTTGCCGGCGTTTCTCTCCGCCCACACCACGGTTTCAATCCCCGACACACCTCGACGCCTTTCAACTCCGCTTCTGACGCCTTTCAACTCCACCCCGACGTTCGCTCGTACGGAACGACCCTCAGGGTGCTGCGGGGCGAAGAGCGCGCGGACGAGGACGTGCTTCTCAGGGACGACTTCGCGACGCGCGGCGGCGGGGCGGGACCGGGCGCGAAGAAGGCGGCGGGGGACTCGAGAGCGGGGGCGTCGCGGCGCGCGGCGCCTGCGGCGGCGCCGGCGCCGGCGCGCGGGAGAGGCGCGGGCGCCGCCGCCGGGAGAGGCGACCGCTTCGGCGGCGGCGCCGGGGGAAGAGGGCGACAGGATTCGAGGGTCGTCGGGAGTCTCGTGGGGGGGAGGGACGACAGCAGCGACGATGATCCGTTCGACGACGCCTCGGGGTCGTCCGAAGACAGCAGCGACGACAGCGGCTTCTGACGGGAGAGGGACGTCACGCACGTAGCCTAAATAAGTTGTTAGTCAGCCAAATTTTTTTTATCACGTCATCGCCGTCCGCGAGGAGACGCGCGAAAAGGAAGAATGACGTCGCGAGATCTATCATATCCGCGCGCGCCTGCAGCGGGATGGCGCCGCCGCCGGACCCCCCCCGCGCGTCGCGCGGCCGCGACCCCCCCCCGTACAAGAGCAAAACCTGCCTGGGCGCGATGTTCTACGGCAAAAGCCTCGAAGACTCCGGCGTCCCCCCCGTGTGCGTCGGCGTGCAGTACGGAAACACGACCGAGGCGCCGGCGAACGCGATCGGCGACGGCGACGGACCGGAGTCGCACACCACCACGGACGAGCTCGGGGCGTTCAAGTTCACGTGCGTCGGGTACGGCCAGCGCGCGTACCCGTACTTCCCGGACGACAACGACAGCGCGGACGGCGGCGGCGACGACGGCGGCGGGCGCAAGCGACGGAATCGGTTGCCCCACTGCGTCGGGTTGCAAATATTGGTCGCGGACAGCAAGTCGCACGAAGACAGGCGGGCGGCTGATCCGGCGGCGTGGGAGAAGGCGGGCTGGGAAGATTTTGCCGAACGAAGAAATCGCGGTCACGCGGACGACCCAGAAGTGCGAGCGTTTTTCGAGAGATTGAGAGTCGAAAAAATGAAGGAGTTGATGGAGGAGCAGCGACGGAGAGAGCGGAGCGACGCGTTTCCGTTCGTGAGCGCGGACTTTGAGAAGAAATTCACGAAGACCGCTGGGAAGATGTTGTCGAACATGAAGAAACACGCGGAGTACATCGCGAAGCTCGCGGGCATCAGCGGGCAACGATGAACAGACGAACGGACGAACGGACGAACGGACGAAGACGAAGACGACGCGACGGGAAGAGAAGAGACGCGCTTTAGCCGCTAGCTAGACTAGATGAACTACGACTACGACTACTCGAACACCGCGACGGGTCCTCGCAGATCTTCATTCCACGACGTTCCGAGCCACGGCCCCGGCGTCCCCCACGCATACAGTTGTCCGTCCTCTGCGGAGACGGCGACGCACAAAGCGTTCTTGTGCCATTTAGCATCATAACTTGGTGGTGTGGCGGTGAAGCCGCCGCACGCGACCGCGGTCACGACGTGGGGTGCGTGATCATCACGCCCTTCGCGTCTCGGCGCGGCGAGAAATCTCGGCAGAGACGAATCAAAAATTCTGAAGCCGTCGTCCTCGTACGGCAGCGCGCCGCCGCGGTCGTCGCCGAAGCCCACCAGGCGACCGTCTCTCGTGAGCACCACGGAGTGTGACTCGCCCGCGTACGCGCGCGACGCTCTCACGGCGTCGGCATCGGACGCGACGCGGCGGAACACCCCGCGCCGCGACGGTCCCGCGAACGCGCTCGTGACGCGCCCGGTGAGGCCGCCCCTTCCGTCGCCAAACCCCCAGAGGCCGCCGTCGCGGTCGACGGCGAGCGCGTGCTCGGTCCCAATCGACAGGTGTGTCATCGGCGGTATGTGTTCTTCGCGTCGCGGGATCGACGACCGCGTTTGCCTCTGCCCATGCTCGCCCGTCACCGCGACGTACCCGATCGTCGCGGCGTTGCAAAACGCTTTGTACACGAAGCCGTCTTCGTCCAAATACATCGTCACGTGTCGCCCCGCCGCGGCGAGGACCACTCGAACGCCTCGGTCGGACAACGCGCGCACTTTCGTCGCGCGGTCGAAATAACGATCGTGCACCTCATGCTCGACCCCGAAGATCGCGTCCGGGTCGTACCCCAATCCGAGTTGCCCTTTCGAGTCGCTTCCCCACGCGTACGCGTCGCCGGCGACGTCGACGGCGACGGAGTGCCGGGCGCCCGCGGCGACGCTCACCACGAACGGTGTCGCCGCGCCGCCGCCGTCCGCGAACTCCACGAGCCCGGGCACTTGATACTTCTCAAAACGTTCTGTCGGACCGACGTCGCGCCCGAGCGCGGCGAGAACATCGCGATCGCCCATCGCCGCCCACTCCACAGGACGCCCCCCCCAACTCCACGCGCGGCCCGTCGCGTCGCACGACAGCGCGTGATACGCCCCGAGGGATATCCCGGCGACGCGGACGCGACCGAACGCGCCCGCCGCCGTCGGGGGAAACGCGACGCGTCGCGGGGTCGCGTAGTAGCCTCGGCTTCGTTCAAGACGTCGTTCGTTTTGGATGTCTTCGTCCCATTCGTCGTCTTCGCTGTCGTCGTCGACGTCTTCGACGAGTCCGAGGAGGAAGGTTTCGTTTCCGCCCCACGTCCAGAGCGTTCCGTCGTCGTCGACGCGCGCGGCGACGTCTTGCGCGCGACCGCCGGACGCGACCGCCAGCCGGCAGTCCTTGACCGAGACGTACGCCCGGCGGTGCACGGCCGTCCACGACGTCGCCCCGCGCGGCGGCCGCGGTCGCCCCGCGGCGTCGACGGCGCCGGCGACGGCGCTGGAGTCGTAGAGCGACGGGAGGTGTCCGCGCGCGGCTGCCTCCGCGGCGTCTTCTCGCAGCGACGACGACGACGACGGCATGGCGGGGCGCAGCGCGATGTCGAGCGCGGCGAGGTCGAGCGGGGACAGGACGCCGACCGCCGCGGAGCGCACGACCGCGAGGCGGATGGCTTCCGCGGCGTGTGGCGACGTCGCGAGCGCGTTCCCCGCCGTCGCCATGGCGGCGACGGAGGAGGAGGAGGCGCGACGGCGCGCGAATCTCTGACGCGCTGCGCTGTCTGTCAGCGATTTCAAGTCCTGGCTTCCCGCCCGCTCTTCCGAGTTTATTACGGTTCGGACCCCTCGAACGGAGAACACTACCCACCGCACGCCAAGCGGTCGATCGCACGTCACACGCACTCGACACGATGAGCGACCCCGCCCCCGCCGAGACCCCGGTGCGCGACGCGATCGCCCTCGCGCGCGACGATCGATCGCGTCCCTCGCCCCCGGTCGATCGAGCGAAAAAAAAAAGATTAGATCCCACGTCGCGATCGTCGCCGAATCGCCGCAAGATCTGACCGCCGCCCGCTCTCCTTCGCGTCGTCCCCGTTCCCCCAGGCCGTCGAGGAGAAGAAGGAGGAAGAGACCGCCGCGCCCGCGGCGCCCGCCGCGCCCATCTTCGGCGCCGCGACCTTCGGCGGCGGCTTCGGCGGCGCCGCGGCGACCTTCGACCCCACCGCGTTCGCGTCCGCGCCGAAAAAGACGACCGAAGAAGGCGGCGACGACGCGGACGACGCGACCGACGTCGAGGCGGAGTGCAAGGCTGAGTTCGCGCCCGTCGTCAAGCTCGAGGCCGTGGAGACCGCGTCCGGGGAGGAGAACGAGGACGTCCTGTTCGAGGCCAAGTCGAAGGCGTACCGGTTCATCGAGGGCGAGTGGAAGGAGCGAGGCGTCGGCCCGCTCAAGCTTCTGCAGGACAAGGACACCAAGAAGATCAGATTCCTCATGCGTCGCGACAAGACGTTGAAGGTGTGCGGAAACTTCTTCGTCCAGCCCGGGACGAAGATCGAGGAGCACGCGGGCAGCGAGAAAGCGCGCGTGTTCTGCGCGATGGACTGCTCCGACGGCGACGTGCGACCGGAGATGCAGAACATGTGCTGCAAGTTTGGCAGCGCGGAGAAGGCGGAGCTCTTTCAAACGGAGTTCGAGAAAGCCATGGAAGTCATGAAGCAGTTCGAGGGCGAGGAATCGGCGGAGAAGAAGGAGGGTGACGCGGCCGCGGACGCGCTCGCGGACGACGTCGCGAAGGCGGCGGTCGCGGAGGAGAAGAAGGAGGAGGAGGCGTGAGGGAAGGATTCTTCTATCTTATACGATGAGATTCTTTGAACGCGACGGAGGGAGGGAGAAGAGGAGGACGCGCGCGTCCGTCGCTAGAAGAGACCGCGCGACCACCGTCTATTACTACGCTACGCTACACGCGAGTCACCGTCGCGTCACGATTTCAATTTCGACGCCGTCAACGCCGCGCGCGCGGCGTCCGCGACGCGAACCGCCGCCGCCACCGCCGCGACGTCCGCGGGACACGCGCGCAGAACCTCCCGCGCCGCGCCCACGATCTCCAACGCTCGCATCCGTCCTTCGAACCCTCCGAACCCGGCGGCACCGGCGACCCCGCCGCCCTTGCCTCGATCTCTCGCCCTGCGCGCGGCCGCTAACACGTCCATCGCGTCCTTCCCCTCGCGCACGCGTCTCCCGGCGTTGAACGTCGCGTGGTTTTTTCGAAACGCGCGGAACGCTTCGTCGGCGCCGAACGCGTCCAAGTCCTCGTCGTCGTCGCGCACCGCGCACGCCCACATGTCGCCCAACTCGTCGCGGAGCATCGTCTCGACCGCGGACGGGAGCGCGGCGTCGAGCGCGTCGAGGACCGCGAGCGTCGTCGTCTCCGGGGTCGCGTCGTCGAACGCGGGGGCCGCGGACGACGCGTCGCGCGCCGGCGGCGGCGGCGCCGCCGCCGCCGACGCCGCCGCGCGCCCGTCCGTCGTCGTCCCCTCCATCGCCCGCTGCGCCGCGCTCGCGCGCGCGTAGAACGCGTCCACGGCCGTCGCGAGCGCGCGCAGGTCCCGCGGCGCGGAGCCGGTCTCGGGGTCGAACGTCGCGATCGGAACGTCGTCCGGCGACGCGTAGGACCTCGCGCCGACGCCGGCGTTGACGTCGCCGGTGAGCAACGCGACGCGTTCGCCGCGACGGCGCATCGCCTGGCAAAAGTACACGATCTCGTCGTCGCCGGAGATGCGCGTTTCGCCGTCTGTGTCGCCGCTCTCCGCGCGCATCTGCGCGCGCATCTTCCTCGCGTCGGAGGGGCCCTGCACGACGATCGCGGCGGCGA